AAGTTCGAGGCCATTACTGAGTAAGCCTATATAAGCATAAAAACGAAATGTAAAAGACTCTGTCCGAACTACAATCAGCTACAGATCTCTCAGCTTTTTTCAGTGAAGTGATTGCAATTAAAGTCTAATAATTGCATCATATCGTCAAGTATACATGCTAATTCTCGTATTTGGCACTCAGTATCAATTCGCAATATGCAGCTGAAGTTGCATCATAATTTTGAATGGCATACGTCATTAGAATGGGGTGAATAATATCATGGAAACTAAGAGCCAATCACAACATTTTTTTTTAGGGTCATTTAACGTTTTCAGGCCCCCAGAAATTATGTAAGATTAGCTAATTTATGCCCAAAACTTTTTTACCTGTTTAACATTGTTACGGGCCTGGCAGCAGCAATGGGAGGCCCGTAATTCTGCCAGCACCCTATGACAAAATGGAACACACCAGCAGTGTGAGGAAGACCTGAAAAGTGGCACATGGCAGAGTGTGGGCGCTGAAAATGGAAACACACCAGCAGTGTGAGGAGACCTGAAAGTGGCACATGGCAGAGTTGGCGATGAGACAGGCATCAATGGGAAAAGGACCCAGACCTCCTGGACCTGCAGCACAGAGACGGGTACGGGGGACCCATGACGGCCTGCACTCAATGGCCCCTACCTCCAGCACCCAATGACAAAATGCAGCAGTGTGAGAGACCTGAAAGGGGCACATGGCCGAGTGTACATGGAGACAGCACAAATGGGGGCCGTACAGGACCCATGAGAGACTCTGACCTGGCAGCAGCATGAGAGGCGGTTCAGGGCCCCATGGAAATTACGGCCTGGCAGCAGCAAATGGGAGCCCGTACACTGCCCCAGCACCCAATGACAAAAAATGGAACACACCAGCAGTGTGAGGAGACCTGAAAGTGGACACATGGCAGAGTGTGGCGATGGAGACAGCAGCAATGGGAGGCCGTACAGGGACCCATGAGAGACTCTGGACCTGGCAGCAGCATGAGGAGGCGGTACATGGGGCCCATGGCAGATTACGGGCCTGGCAGCAGCAATGGGAGGCCCGTAATCTGCCAGCACCCTATTGACAAAAAATGGAACACACCAGCAGTGTGAGGAGACCTGAAAGTGGCACATGGCAGAGTGTGGGGCGATGGAGACAGCAGCAATGGGATTTGAGTCACTCTGACCTGGCAGCAGCAGGAGGCGGTACAGTGGCCCATGGCAGATTACGGGCCTGCAAAGGTGCCCGTAATCTGCCAGCACCCTATGACAAAAAATGGAACACACCAGCTGAGAGAACCTGAAGTGGCACATTGTTTGGGGCATGCATTCATCCACGTGATTTGAAATCCAACGTAATCCACGCCTGAGTTCAGGAGACCCACAAACGTGAGTCTCTCCACACTTTGGGTGGACAGTCGTGTCCTCCGCGCGGAGTTACAATACCTCCTGCCGCACTAAACACGCGCTCCGATGCCACGCTACTGGCCGGGCATGACAGCCTTTCAAGGGCAAATTCAGCTAGTTGGGGCCAAAGGTCAAGTTTCGTTGCCCAGTAGTCAAGGGGATTGTCTACCTCGGTTGGCAGGGTGCTGTCCAAGTAGGCCCAAGCCTGTTGTTTGAGGTCCTGCTCCAGGTCCACCTGATGCTGCTGCTGCTGCTGCGGCTGGTTAGTAGTTTCCTCACTGCGCTGGTGAAGAAAGCTACTCATCATCGACTGCAGACTGAGGCAGCCGCTGCTGGTGGAGCTGCCACTGCTCCTACCACCCCACCACCCCACCCCTCCCCTGCTGCCATGGCAGCGGAACGCGAGCGCACAGGGCCCACAGTGTCTGAGGATGGACGTTGGCGCAGAAAAAGGCAGAGACCAACTGACTACATAGGTGGTTTTTTATAGTACGTTATTTTGGCCTCCCTCTCAGCAGGTGTGAAAAAGGCCACCATTTTTGAACGGTAGCGAGGGTCCAACAAGGTGGACAGCCAAAAGTCATCCCTCTGTCTGATGGTTATTATTCGGCTGTCGCTACGCAAGCAACCGAGCATGCTATGGGCCATTTGTGCCAAGGAATGCGAGGGACTCCCTGCCTCCATCTCCACAGCATACTGCCACGGTGCGTCTGGGTCCTCTGTCTCCTCCTCCTCCTCCTCTACCAGATGCTCCTGCTCCTCCACTCCTGTCCGCTGAGTGGAAAAACCACCCATTTCACTCAATAATTCCTGAGCACAAATGTCCTCCTCTACCTCCTCCTCTTCTTCCTGTCCTGCCCCCACAGGGGTCATGTGGCGTTGAGATCTGTGCGCCACGTCTACCGCACCCTGACCAGCCATTGTTAACAGCATTTGTTCCAGGACGTGCAACAGAGGAATGACGTCGTTCATACCCATAGTCCTGCCGACTCACGAATAGCGTGGCCTCCTCAAAGGGCCTGAGCAAGCGGCAGGTGTCACGCATGAGCTGCCAATGGCTGACATCGAAGTTACACAGGGGAGTACCTTTATCCGCTTGTAACATCAGGAAATCGGTGATGGCCTTTCGCTGTTCGTAAAGGCGGTCTAACATGTGTAGGGTTGAATTCCACCTTGTTGCAACGTCGCAGATCAGGCGATGCTGTGGAATTCCGTTCTGCCGCTGCAGCTCAAGGAGGGTGTGCTTTGCGGTGTAGGAATGGCTGAAATGCATGCAAAGTTTACGTGACATTTTAAGGATGTCTTGCAGTGGGATGGTGGATTTTAGGAACCGCTTGACAACCAGATTGAACACGTGAGCCATGCATGGCGCATGGCACAACCTTCCTTGACGCAGAGCAGACACCATGTTCTTTCCGTTGTCGGTCAACATGGTTCCGATTTTCAGTTTGCGCGGAGACAGCCATCTGTCGATTTCTCTGTTCATTACACTCAGAAGTTCCTCCCCTGTGTGACTACGTTCGCCAAGGCATACCAGGTGCAGCACAGCGTGACACCGTTGCGCCCTGCACATGTGATATGCCGGTCGGGTAATGGGACTTGGCACGGGGGTGCGGCTGAGGACACGGCGGAAGAAGAGGTGGTAGAGGCGGACATCTTTTGTGGACCAAGGACGTGCAAACGTGGAGGCAAAAGCGGCGTGACCTGTCCAAGTTGCTGGTGCGGCTGTGCCGGCACCACGTTCACCCAGTGGGCCGTAAATGACATGTACTGTCCCTGACCGTAGTTACAGCTCCACACGTCGGCGCTGCCGTGCACTTTGGCAGAGACCGACATGCTCAAAGACTGGCCCACCATCTCTTCTACATGTGAATGCAGGGCTGGCACTGCCTTTTTGGCGAAGAAATGACGGCTTGGCACTCTCCACCGCGGCGCGGCACAAGCCATCATTTCTCGGAAAGGTGCTGAGTCCACCACTTGGAAAGGGAGGGACTGCAGCACCAGCAACTTGGACAGGAGGACGTTCAGCTTTTGCACCGTCGGGTGCGTGCTCGCAAACTGTTGTCTCTTGGAAACGGATTCCAAGAAAGACTGCTGACGGAATCCGTGAAGAGGAGTAGCAGGAGAAGGAGCATCTGAACGAGCGGAAGATGCCAACGAGCGACAACTCCCCTCAGCAGAGGTGTTGGAGCCTTGACTGGCTGATAGAGGGCGATTGACGTCGGGTGACGGAGCAAGTAACGGAGCGGGTGATGGAGCGGGGGCTGGGGCAGGCAGAACCGCCGTATCTTTATCACGGTTTTCCCAGGCCACCAAATGGCGACGCTGCATATGCTGCCGCAACGCTGTAGTCCCAACATGGGCCCCCTGGCCACGCTTGACTTTCTGGCCACATAGTCGACATACGGCTACGTTTACTTCCTCGGGCGGCTTGACGAAAAAAAATTGCCACACCGCCGAGTAGGAAACTTTGCCCCCGATACTCCTCACTGGCTGACTGCTACTTCCTCCGTGCACACCGGCACCACTACTGGCCGTGGTGGTAGGCTGCAGTGGAGCTGGTGCTCTACTCCGTGGCCGTTTGCCTCCACTGACACTGCTGCGACCCTGCTGCCTCCTGGGCAACCCACCGACTGTTTTGCTCGCTGCCAAGCTGCCACCCTCTTCTCCTGATGATGCGGAAGCAATAGCCTGATGACGACGAGGCTGCCAAGTGCGATCAGCCTCATCATCATCAATTAGGGTCTCCGCCTCACTACTAGCCCCCTCGGCTGCGTGTGGGTCAGGAGACAGACCTGTCTCTAGACCGGCTACCGAGCCACTCTCCTCGCCACTACTTCTTCGCCTGGCTGCTGAAGAGGCGGATGTCTCCCCCCGTTCCTGACCGCCCTCTGTTAGCTCTTCCTCACTGTACAGTGGGGCTGAGCCCACAGCATGCGATACTTCGCTTGGTGAGGGAACACCAAAGGACAGGGGCAGGTAGAGGACACGTGATTTCAGTGGGCTTGCTCCCGGGCCATGCCAACTAACGGTTGTGTCTGACGTACCCACCGACCGTTGGCTGTAGGTGTCAGAGGTGACCTGGGAAGAGGAAGACTGCGACCGAGCCAACCAATCGATGACGGCAGGGTTGTCGGTGGAGACACGACCGCTGGATGACACCGGGAGCAATGGCCTCTGGCTGCGACTAGTGCTGCCTCGACCCCTTCCTCTGCTGCCACGTCTGCTCGCTCCTAAAACATTGCCTCCTCTGCCACTCCTCTGCATGTTGTCTGACATACTCTTTAATTAAACGATTCTGTGTCCCTGAGTAACAATTCTGTGTCCCTGAGTAACAATTCTGTGTCTGTCCCTGAGTAACAATTCTGTGTCCCTGAGTAACAATTCTGTGTCCCTCAGTAACAATTCTGTGTCCCTCAGTAACAATTCTGTGTCCCTCAGTAACAATTCTGTGTCCCTCAGTAACAATTCTGTGTCCCTCAGTAACAATTCTGTGTCCCTGAGTAACAATTCTGTGTCCCTCAGTAACAATTCTGTGTCTGTCCCTGAGTAACAATTCTGTGTCCCTGAGTAACAATCTGTGTCCCTCAGTAACAATTCTGTGTCCCTCAGTAACAATTCTGTGTCCCCCTGAGTAACAATTCTGTGTCCCTCAGTAACAATTCTGTGTCCCTCAGTAACAATTCTGTGTCTGTCCCTGAGTAACAATTCTGTGTCTGTCCCTGAGTAACAATTCTGTGTCCCTCAGTAACAATTCTGTGTCCCTCAGTAACAATTCTGTGTCCCTGAGTAACAATTCTGTGTCCCTCAGTAACAATTCTGTGTCCCTCAGTAACAATTCTGTGTCCCTGAGTAACAATTTCCGTGTCCCTCAGTAACAATTCTGTGTCCCTCAGTAACAATTCTGTGTCCCTGAGTAACAATTCTGTGTCCCTCAGTAACAATTCTGTGTCTGTCCCTGAGTAACAATTCTGTGTCTGTCCCTGAGTAACAATTCTGTGTCCCTCAGTAACAATTCTGTGTCCCTCAGTAACAATTCTGTGTCTGTCCCTGAGTAACAATTCTGTGTCCTGAGTCCTGAGTAACAATTCTGTGTCCCTCAGTAACAATTCTGTGTCCCTCAGTAACAATTCTGTGTGTCCCTGAGTAACAATTCTGTGTCCCTGTGTAACAATTCTGTGTCCCTCAGTAACAATTCTGTGTCCCTCAGTAACAATTCTGTGTCCCTCAGTAACAATTCTGTGTCTGTCCCTGAGTAACAATTCTGTGTCTGTCCCTGAGTAACAATTCTGTGTCCCTCAGTAACAATTCTGTGTCCCTCAGTAACAATTCTGTGTCCCTGAGTAACAATTCTGTGTCCCTGAGTAACAATTCTGTGTCCCTCAGTAACAAATTCTGTCCCTGAGTAACAATTCTGTGTCCCTCAGTAACAATTCTGTGTGTCCCTCAGTAACAATTCTGTGTCTGTCCCTGAGTAACAATTCTGTGTGTCCCTCAGTAACAATTCTGTGTCCCTCAGTAACAATTCTGTGTCCCTCAGTAACAATTCTGTGTCCCTGAGTAACAATTCTGTGTCCCTCAGTAACAATTCTGTGT